TTGCACCTGCCCCACAGACATCTCGCTCGCTGCCGTCAACAAGGTTATGGATGCGATCAAAGAAAAAGTGCCCACGTCGTTCTTCGAAGTGGTCCACGGCATCGTTGACTTGGCCGACGCCACCTCGCCCGACGCAGACGCGCAGGATCTGTCAACGACGCTGGCTGACACTGGTTTCGGACCTTTTGCGGAAGATGTGTTCGGCGACCTAGCTTCTCTGAAGGCGGTGCAAGCTTCGAGGTTCCGCTACGCGCTGAAGCTTTTCCAACTACTCGACAAGCACGCGTCTGGGGCAGAGTACGAGCACTTCAAGGCAGGCGTCGCCTTCGCAGAGCGCCTGTCCGACCAACTCACAGGCTTCGAGGCAGTGTACGGAGACGACCCTCACAAGTTCTGGACAAACACGTTCGAGTATGCCGATGTGTTGAAGGCGGAGGTGGTGACGGCTCGTTCGGATGCCGAATGGCGAACCCATGAGCACACGATCAAGTCGAAGGTAACTGCAATGAAGAAGGCCGACATCACAGCTGCCATAAAGAAGTACTTCAAAGAAGACGGTGTGGACTCCACGGACACCTCTACCATCGACTCGATGCTGAAGGAGCAAGTGACCGAACTTCTGATTAAGAAAAAAAATCGAGGAGTCTCGCTCTGGACACGCACTCTTGCTGGAGAAATTTAACGAGCGGCTCCAGGAGGTGTACGCTGGTAGTCTTTCTGGTGGCTCTGCAGTCGACGTGTCTGGTGCGTTGGCCGAGTTGACTGAGGCCAGTGCCACGATCGATGAGAAGCTTCACACGCCGCCCTTCCTTGGCATCGAGTCGTCCAGGGCAGCGACCACTTCTTGGAAATGCTACGCAGCTGGGCTTACGTTGACACAGGAGTTGGCGAAGAAGTACATCGGTCTTGCGAAGGATGGCTGTGCGTTGGACATAGCAGATCGAGGGCATGAACACATTCTCACTGCACAGGATGCGTTTTCGAAGAAGGGCAAACCCAAATTCGTTTTGGACGGTTCTTGCGACGATTTCATTCACAAGTCGGAGTCGATCAAGCTATTCTTCATCGGTGAGGTGGTGATTTCGACAAGTACGACAGCTGACCACCCTGGGCTATGCATCAACCTAGGGACTGTGAACATCGACTGCCAGACTTTCAACATGGTCTTGAAAGCCGATCCTCGGTTCACTGACCCACGCTCGTCTCTTTGCAACTCAGCGTGGTGCATCCGTGGTGTGCCGACCGACGAAGCTTTCATGAAGTTGTCCGATCATGAGAAGTTTGATGTCGATACTTGCGCAGGGCCCATCACGATTCACATGCCTTCACTTGTTGTGGATATGGGCAAGGCGAATGAGCTTCACCAGGCGGCCAAGAGGTTTGCTGAGAAGCGTGGCGCCTACGTGGCTTACGAGAGGGAGTACAAGGGTGCAAGAAAGGACAAGGAGAAAGCTCCGACGGGCACGACCGCAGTCGAGGTCACGCGCCCGGTGTTCGCCCACGAGCTGGAGCGGGAGCAGCAGCGCAAGAAGCAGCAGGAGGATTCCTCTGGCTCCGCTGTCCAGGCTGCCAAGAAGGCACTTACCCTCCTGCTCCTAAACCTCCCACTTCGTAACCACTGTAGTATTTCTACCATCGGTCTCACTCCTCGTATCTCCTCACTCTTTCTCCCTCCCTGTCTTGTTGTTCTCTCTCACTCTCTCTCTCTCTCTCTCTCTCTCTCTCTCTCTCTCTCTTTCTCTCTCTCGCTCTTTCTCTCTCCCTCTCTCCAACCATCCCACTCCCAGTTCTCCAAACACATCATCTGACTCGTCTTCGCTCCTTTCCAGGCCAAGCACGTGCTGGGGTGATGATGAGGGCTGGATCCGAGCATGTTCTAGAGCGTGCCTGGTCCTACCTATAGAAGAGCACACGCGGCATTTGGGTTTGCCGTTGCTCTCAGAACCCTGGGGTGGGGCCCTTTTTGGGTAAGGACTTAGTCTCGCTTGAATTCAGATCGGCCAGGGTCAGTGCTTCTCTGCTTCTTGCATTGCTTCCCTGGCCGAGGCCCAGAGGTCAATAGCTCGATCGTGCTCGTTTGCCTAGCTGTCCCTGCCCTCAGGAGCAGGGCCGAGGACCGTTTGGGAGATGACTGAGGAGGAGGAAAAGGAGGAGGAGGAGGAGGAAGAGGAGGAGGAGGAGGAGGAGGAGGAGGAGAAGGAGGGGCAGGGATGAGGAGGTGGATCAGGTGTAGGAGTAGGTGGAGAAGGAGGAGGAGGAAGAGGAGGAGCAGGTGGGCACATCAGAGCTGGGAGGAGGAGGAAGAGGTTGGACGGCCTGGCCAGCGCGAGACAGCCGAGACACTTCAGGACCTCAGGAGCTCGGCTCGACGCCCGGGCCACCATGTCAATCAAACATCCTGCGTTCCTTTTCGTCGGCAGCAGCGGCGGCAGGTCGTCATCGTCGTCATCGTCGTCGGCCGCGCCAAAGAAGACGGGGAACATTCCGTACAAATGATTAGTTTTGTATGTGATTTCCCTTGCGACGTCGTCGTCGTCACCGACGTGACGTCATTACGTCGTGACGTACTCGTAGTCACCGTCGTCGTCGTCTTCGTCGTGCACGTTCGCTGTCATCTGTGTCGTAGTCTGCGTCGGTGGTCAGTGCGGCCGTCGGATCGTCTATCTTGCCTCTTATGCCCGACTCAACCCTTACTCCTATACATTGCGTGAGGGCAGATGTAGCGAGGAAGTCTCAAGCGAAAGCGCACTTTCACTATCGTTTGCGGAGCGCCTTATCAGACAACTGAGTGGCTCATTGCTCCTAACAGCTGGGTCGCCAGCCGACGCACTACTGGGGTGCCACCCAGCAGCGCGCTATCTCGAACAGCGCCTGCTGGGATCTACTGGGGTGCTACCCAGCGCGCGCTGGGACCTCCCACTCGCGAGTCCCAGCTGCTGGGCCCGACCCCCCTGGATCCCAGCGCGCTGTCTTGAGCAGCTCATCTGCGATCTGCACCTCCCCACTTGTTGATCGTCCTTGGGCCCGATGCCGCGCCACCGAGGCCGAGGTCAAGGAAACATGCCAGTTTTGAAACAAACACATCTTCTGAGATTTAGTGGCGATTGCCGGATCTTTGCCGGTTATTTCTTCTGGCCACATTTTCCCAGAAAAACCAGCCGTAGTTGCGAGAGCCCTCCAGGACGGTCTTCTTCCCCTCAGTCTAGGCTCTTTCGACTCATGGGCGTCGATTATCTGGAAGCACGTGAGGGCCCTCCCCCCGGGGACAGTTTTTCGTTTCCGATCCGGGCGTTGCGTAAAGGGGGGGGGAGGGGCGACAAAGGGGGGGGATCATTGTTCTGTTTTCCTCTTTGTGCCCTCAACGGGCCCCAGAAAAGGCACCCCTGGGGCCCCAATGGGGCACGACGGATGCACGCTTCGTCCCCCCCTGCATCGCCCCCCCCCCCCCATGCAGGAGCGCCCGACCGATCCATGCGTGATATTCCTGGAGCCCGACAGCGCTCCCCAGAGGCCGGGGTCCGAGGAGAAGCGCTAGGATTCGGACTGGGCTACGGTAGGTTTGCGTCGTGTCGACCAGCGGCGACCCCAGCGCGGGCGTTCAAGGTTGAACGCCGCCGGTGACCCAGAATCGATCGATGTTGAACGATCGGACTTTGCGGCAGCGGCCGATCGTTCAAGGTTGAACGATCCCTGCGGTGTCAAAAACCAACGCCGGGGTCGTCACGACACGAACTTGCCGTAGGACAATCATAAGTCCGTTCCTGAGCGTTCCAGAACGCTCCCAGAGCGTTCAGGAACGCTCTGATCGGGGGAGCGTAAGACCCGGGTTTGCCGGGACTCGGGTTCGCCATCGTTTTTTGACGACCGCGCCTCGGATTTTGACGAGGAGGAGTTTCGTGGGATGTCTGCAGCGGGAGGCCTCGTCAAAATGCAGGTTCGGCCTCGTCATTTGTTTGACGACCACGTCGGGGATTTCCGAGTCCCCTGTACCCAGGTCTTACGTTCCCCTGAAGGAACGCTCTGAGAAGGCCGCGGCGAGACATCTCCCAGAGCCGCCAGATCTCAGATATTCTCGAGTTGTATCGGTTGCCACATGCAAGCCCTACCCCACCACCCCACGAATTCTAAGGGGGAGGCAGGGTAGGGTTCGCATGTGCCCTCCTATCATCCTCACCCGATGTGATCCTTGCCCTGGTTTCGTCTTTTAGGATTCCTGAGACAATCCTTCCGTCGGAGATCCGGGATTCGATATACAGTGGAGGTCAGTCCACAAGAAACCTTCCACAGGAAATTTCACCCTGAAGCCCGAGGTCGTTCCTTGCGTTCCGTCGCAAAACCATCGAAACCAAAGAAACCCAGGGCCGAGGGCTCCCTGGAGACACGCAGGGCGTTTCTTGGCATGGGCCCCCACTGTCTGGTCACCCGCGGGGGCGCGAAGGTTGTGAGCGCGCTCCGCGCGACTCGCGCTTCGGGCCGGAGCGGCTCGAGGGCGCGGGGATCATCTCGCGCCGCGCCTCGCGGGGCGCGGTGGTGCGCGAAGTTTCGGATCTCAGGAGGCGGGGGGTCATGGCAAACGTGGGTCGGTCGGAGCGCCGGATGTTGCAGCATCCTGCAGAGCCAGAGCTGTACTGACCCGGACTTGGGTGCAGGATCCTGCGGGTTTTGGTCGCAGGATCCTGCAAAGCCGGACTTACCGTGGTCCAGAGTGACCCGGGCCAGCAGGTCCCTGCAAGTTATACGACCTGGGGATCATCCCCCTCCTCCTCCTCCTCCTACTTCTCCCCCTCATTATTCTCTCTCTCCTCCTCTTCCTCCTTCTGCCTCCCCCCCTGCCTCCCTCCCTCCTCCCCGCTCATCTTTCCCTCCTCCTCCTCCTCCTCCTCCTCCTCCTCCTCCTGCTCCTCCTTCCCCTCCTCCTCCTCCTCCTCCTCCTCCTCCTCCTCTTCATCCTCCTCCTCCTCCTGCTCCTCCTCCTCCTCCTACCGCCACCGCCACCCCAGGAGCCGCTGAGGCCGTCCCGGCGCCCCTTCCGCAGGAGGCCGCCGCCATCGCGGCCTCCGCGCCGCTGGCGCGCCCAGAGCCGCTGCCGGAGGGCGCGATCGTGCCGCTGCCGCCGATGGTGCCCTGCAGCGGCATCCGGGACCATCCCAGAGCAGTGGAGGAAAAGGTGCCAGTGCTGCTACAGTCGAGCCGCAAGGCAAGGATCAGCGACCGTCTAAGGGTACCCTGAGATCCTTGGCCGCTTTCGCTGGCCGCGCCCCGCTCGCAAAGTGTCGACATGGCCGTCCAAGGCCCTTGCATGCTTATCGCGCCTCCTTCGTATGCGGGTTGACTGTGTCCATGATAGTTTTCCTCTTTTTTGAGGCTTGCTTGAAGGCCCTCGTCGCCACGGTTGGAACTGCGCCTCGCAATTCTGGTCAGAACGCACCCTGGGAGAGGTCCAGGCAGTAACGGTATCGGTACCTTCTGGCTTCCACACAAAAGGGAAATGATGACCAGGGGGTTTGAAGTCGGCTGGGGCTTCTGAGGTGGCCCAGCATTGGTTCCCGCGTTCTGGGTTCGAGAACGTTGTTTTGTTTTTATATAGCCTCCGGGATCCGTTTTCGGGCACCGTCAATAACGGGTCCGGTTAGACAAATGGCATCAGATGGACCATAGGATGGGTCCAGAGACCGATTTTGACCGGATGAGGTTCCATTATCTCCATTGACCCGTTTTTTCGGGGACCATCCAGTTCAGACCCCCTGGCTGCCTGCAAGATGAGGGATGGATGTCGTGGCCTGGGCCATGATAGCCCCATTTCCTTGATATTAAAGCATAGCCCCCCTGAACCCCCTGTGACTTTACTATCCCGTGTCAGTCGGGGGCCCCCAGACGGTGTGGTGACCACGCCGTGCGGTGAGTCGGTAGGGATTCGGGGTCACCGCACGGTTTTGGGACTCGGGTCGTTCTCCGAGGATGTCTCGGGCGACAGGGGCCTCCAGGGTCCCACGAACGTGCGGTGACGGACCGAGCGCGGAGGTTTCTTGGGGTTCCAAGGTCACCGCACGGTCTGTCACCGTACCGTTTCGGGACCCCAAAACCCATGGGATTTAATTGTGCAGAGGGGCGCGGAGGCCGATCTCGATCATCCCCGCAGGAAGTTGCGAATCGAAGATGCGATCATCTCTTGTTGACTAGCAACAGCATCAAAAACGCTGAGCATGGCAACGGTGGTGGTCTCACCATGTCAGTTTCCGCAATCACGAGCGTGTGGCAGGGCTTTGGGGATGTTCATTTCTATCGCCGTTTCCCTGCCAGGAAATGTGGCAGGACCATGGGGACCGATTGGATTTTGAAGTTGCGTGCGTTTTCCGGGCAGGCAGAGCACCCGAGGTATTTTTTAGCGAATCCTTCACACGGTTCGTGGCCCCTCCTCCTCGTTTTTTTTGTTTTTCCTCCTCCCGTCTTCCTCCCCCTCCTCCCCCCCGCAGCTGCCCAGGCCCGAGCTTCCCCGAGTCTCCGAAACTCCAAGTTTTCGAGTTGTTTCGAGGCACCGAGCTGCACCTCCCCCAGGGGCAACGATTGGGGGGAGATTGTGCGTAAGGGGGCATCATCGATCCCCAATCGCCCAATGATCGCCGAGAGCAGTTCGATCGCCCGAACCTGCCCAGGAGCTCGCGGATTTACGATCGGGCGCCCATCGCCGATGCATTGGCGATGTGTCGCCATGTCCAGGTCGATGTTCCCCCCCCCAATGCTTATCCCCTCCACGTCGTTGCCCCTGCATGCGTCGCGAGCCTCAGCCATGTCTTAGGCCGCCGAGCGCGCCCAGGCGGCAACCCAACAAGTCGCGGCCCTGCAGGGGGTCGCGACCCAGAGCGCGAGCCCGAGCTCGAACGAGATTCTCGAGCGCATGGCCAAGCAGGACGAGAAGATCTTCGACGAATTGTCCGTCATCGCGGATAAGACCGCCATTGCCCAGAAGCGCCAATGCCAATCGAGCGCGCAAGGCGCTGGCGCAGCAAGAATGACGGCCTACTTTCTCAAGGCGGACAGCGCCTCGTGGCCGGTGAGAGCCCAGCCAGCCGCCCTCGAGATGGTTTGCAACGGCGGTTCTGTCAAGGGCATCGAGCGCGGACACATTTTCAACGAGATTGACAAGAGGCGCGTCGAGCGGGCGGTGGCGTGGTTCTACGAGACCTACTGCGAGGAGCCCGCCTCCACGACATCTTCGACAATCGCGGGGGGCCGCCCGAGAATCATTTCTGGCTCACGCCGAGCTTAAAGTCGAATCTGCTCGAATTTTCCAAGAAGAAGGACATCGAGCACGGCTCCGAGAGCGTCTGGCGTCCCGGCTTCGGCTCGTGCGTCGAGCGCGTCGGCGAGGCCCTCCCCGATGCCCCCATCCGAGCTCCTCTACCTCCACGTCCTCGCGCTGCCGATCAACGAGGAGCTCTCCTCCGGCTTGCCAAGCGATCAGCTCTTCGAGTTGACGCCCGTCAAGGCCAAGCAATTCGTCAACTGGTGCCGCGACGACGGCGCGGCGCAGTGCATTGGCCACGCGCGAGCCACCACGCAAGCGGTCGTCAAGTGTCGCTGGGGCCTCAGGCGCACTGCCGACATGGACCACGAGCTCCAGCTGGATAGCTATATGGACGCGCTCCAAGCATGACTACGCTAGAACCGACAGGCAGCTCCGCTGCGAAACGATGGCCCTCCACCAGGACTTCAAGATGAATTTCGAAGAGTCCGCCAAGATCCACGCCGACTGCGACAAAATTCGCAACCGGCGCGAGCCCGAGAAGAGCCAGGCCGACGCGAAGGGCCGACGAGTCAAAGCCGAAGGACGCCTGAGGCCCGAGCGGCGGCGAGCGGCGAGCGCCTGGCGCGCGAGCGCCCCGAGCCACGCGTTCCCATGCTTTTCGCTGCAAGGGTCCCGAGCGAGCGTCTCAAGGCGCGCGCTCGAGCCCCATCTGCTTTCAAGCTCCAAGCGAGCGTTCGAGCACGCGCGAGTGGCGTTCCAAGCTGCGGGGACCCCCCCACCTCTCGCTGAGTGATCCTCGATCAAGCATCGAGCAATCGAGCGGGCTCGACCCTCCATCCTCGGACCGAGGATCCGAGATCTTGAGCCCGAGCATCTTCGAGCACCTTGGATCCTAGATCCGAGGATCGCCAAGCTTGGGCTCGAAGATCTCGGGTTCGTGATCCGAGGGGCGAAAGTCGAGCCTCGGCGATCGTCGATCGCCCTCGTCGCCGTCCTCGGGCCCAGACCGCCATCAAGGAGGCTCGACCCTCGATCCTCGGATTGAGGGTCCGAGATCTTGGCTCCGAGCAGCTTTGTGCACCGTGGGTCTTAGATCTGAGGATCGCCAAGCTTGGACTCGAAGATCTCGGGTTCGTGATCCGAGGATCGAGCCTCGGCGGTCGTCGATCGCCCCCGTCGCCGTCCTCGGGCCCAGGCCGATATCGAGGAGACTCGATCCTCGAAACGAGGATCCGAGATCTTGGCTCCGAGCAGCCTTGAGCGCCCTGGGTCCTATATCCGAGGATCGCCACGCTTGGGCCCGAAGATCTCGGATTCGCGATCCGAGGATCGAGCCTCGGCGATCGTCGATCTCCCTCGTCGCCGCCCTCGGGCCCAGACCGCCATCAAGGGGGCTCGGCCCTCGGACCGAGGATCCGGGATCTTGGTCTTGCGCGTCTGCGAGCGCCTCGGATCTTAGATCCGAGGATCGCCGCGCTTGGACTCGAAGATCTCGGGTTCGCGATCCGATCACCGAGGATAGAGCCTCGGCGATCGCCCCCGTCGCCGTCCTCGGGCCCTGGCCGCCATCGAGGAGGCTCGACCCTCGGATCGAGGGTCCGAGATCTTAGCCTTGAGCATCTGCGAGCACTCCGGATCCTAGATCCGAGGTTTCCGAGCTTTGACTCGCGGACCCTGGGCCCTCGATCCGAGGGTCCTGGATTGAGCCTCGACGCCGAGCGGTCACGCGCACGCGCGCAAAAACGCGCGCGCGCACGAACGCAGATACACACGCGCACATACACGCACATTCTCTCTCTCTCTCTCTCTCTCTCTCTCTCTCTCTCTCTCACGCGCGCGCGCGCACATACGCACGCACGAACAGCACGCACGCACACGCACAAACACGCGCACACACACGCACCCAAACACAGAAAACACACACCCACACACTTACACACACACGACACAACAAAACAGCAAACAGCAGCAGCCACTGCAGCAGCAACAACAACCAGCAACAACAACAGCACCACCAACACCAGCACAACAACAGCAATCACAACACCTAGCACCAGCAACCAGCTCAACCGCGGGACACAACAGCAACCAGACAAACAACAGCAGCACCAACAGCAGGTGCCACAACAGCACAGGCCAAGGCCACCGCATCGCCGATGCACCGCCGAGGCCCGCCGATGCATCACCGAGGTGGCGCCGGCTACGTGGCGAAATGGGCGCAAGCTCTGCGATGTGAGCACTGTTCTGGTCAAGCCCGCTGAGGGACCAACACTTTCCGTTGCCCACTAGGGCCAAACATTCCGGGCCTCTTTTCCAATCCGGCAACGAGGATGGGCGTGTCGGACAGCGACGATCGCCGCGCGTTTTCTTAGCCTTTCGCCGAGCGGTCGGACGGCGAGAGCGTCGTCTCGCCGATGTTCTTCGTCGAGCAAACGCAGGGCGACGAGCGGGCGCAAGACGGCGCGCAGACCGATATCTTCGATGGGGTGGAGACCGAGGACGGCGTCGAGCAGCGCGAGGAGACGCAACCAACTTCGCTGGGGGAGGGCACCAGCAAGCCCGAGGACAACGCCGTCGACCAAAAGCTCGAGGACCAGAAGGTCCCGATGGGCCCCTGCAAGCTCGAGGACAGGAAGCACCAGGACAACGGCAAACTCGAGGACCACGTGCACCTCGAGGGAAAGCTTTCAGACAAAAAGATGGAGGATTCCAGGGGGCTCGAGGACAAGAGCTTCGACGACAAGAAGCCCGAGGACAAGAAGCT